GAATAATTGATTTATGTAAGGCAAATTCCGGCTCAATTGAATATTAAACGTTTATAATTGATAATAGCGCATACACGTAGGTGAGAAACGTGATAATTGGCAAATACATAAAAGGCAAGTTTTATATGCTATCTATCTACTACCCTTTTATTCTTTTGGGTGTGGAAAATTGCTTTGGATCTCCGGCTCCTAGGGGATGAAGGAGCCAGGAGTATGTGATGTTTAATCTAAAAACCAACAACCAAACAACGCCTTACATTGGGGAGGACCTGGACTATGTGATTTCAGGTCCACCCGGATTGTCGCCGCACCTTACTAAGACCTATCCCGAGGGAAGTCATAGGCTTCGTTTCTAAGATGTATCTAGAGCTGAACATCGTTTCAGGTCTCGTCAAATATACCATCTTACCGTTTGTTCTCGGTTAGATGACGTAGAGGTTTTAACATACAAAACTTAAACTTTATTGTGTATTCCTAAAAAGTTACCCACCCCTCCGAGAGTAACAAAGAGTTTATGTAAGAATAAAATCACACGAAATCATTAATTCCACATGCTAAACCAACTTGACATACATATATTGATGCGCACACACAAAATACATTATATTAATTTATTACGACCACAGTTCCAGTGTTGGAAAGTCTCCGGAAAGAGAAATCCATATCTCTTAATGTCAAAAACTCATGACAAGCAATATAAGCACTACTAATAGAGGATAGCAAACTTATTCAAAAATCGCCATCGATTTATAATAAATCTTGCGAATGTTACGGCATTCGACTATTTGTTGTCATGGTGCGTATTCTTCGTGCCAATATTTCTTCATTCAGATTTGATAGGTATAACTATTGATTACAGTCAAAGTGCTAGAAGGAATCACAATAAAGCAATCAAAGAATTAGAACTCTTGAAGAAAATATTGTTCATTACTCATTACGAGTTGCTCGAGTTAAGAAGCTTAGAAGCTCTTCTGCAAAGACTTTTATGAGAAAGTAAGTTGTTAATAACACCTCAGCTTGTCTTATAGAACAACATTAAGTGTGCCTCTAAGAACTTTTATGCTATTATTGGCAATATTTCAAAACTTTCTGACAATATTGTGTTATTAATTAATCCACATAGAGAAATGGGAAATGAAAACCTACTTTTATAGTACTGTCTAGTATGTTTAGGAAAGAATTGTAAATTGTCGGATAGCAAATTATATAATGCTGATAATAATTGAGTCAGAAAATTTTCTAAGATTTTTATATGTAAGCTCGCCTTAACCTTGAAAATCTGGAAAAGAGCCAAATATCTTATACATTCAAGAGTCCGTAAGATGTAATACAAGAATGTACCAGACATCGATCATTTCTTTAATGAGTTATTCCTAAAGGAGTTTCCATAATCAGCTCTATTTGTGTATTTTTTATGATTTATAGCTTTAAAAGGTTCAAATTAAATACCAGTTTTGCTATTTTCACAAGAAAAATACGAAAAACTATGTACTCATAATGTAAAAAATACAGGTGACTTGTACTTCTATCTGTACTATATATAAAATTTTGTATAGAGTCTATAATAGTTAGGTCATTCAACAGAAATCAATAAATATTACACAGAAAAGCTCGTGTGCTGAAGAATTTTAACTACTTATGTTTTGATTATTTATATAATGATATACCTTAGCTCGTGTGCTGAAGAATATTAACTACTTATGTTTTGTTTATTTATATAATGATATACCTATAAATATACCGATAATCCACAATAGAAAGTACTTTGACTTCGAAATATTAAAAGCAAAAAAATATATCTAGGCAATGGCCATACCTTTATTTACTCTATCTTGAAAAGACAACTACCGCATTAGGAATATATCCTGTGCCGCGAGGAACTTTTACAAACATATATGAAACAGACACAAAGAACACCCAAACTCAGAACAACAATTTGTGGATCACACAACGTGTCGTAATCGACGCTGAGTGTGCGGGGATCGAACCCACAACAGTCAGCGTAGTACTCGTAGTAAGCGACGCGGCGGCGGCGGCGTGGCGACCGCTTAAACCACCACGCCATCCGTGCAGTGTTTGACTTAGCAACTCATATACTTTGTTAAGTACTTAAGTTAATTATATAAATTGCTTTTCTTTTATTATTATTCACTTAGGCTCCCACAGTCTGCACTATGGTAAGCGGTTCACAATGCCTATAAACATGACAGTGTGAAATTGGAAATACTTAAAATGTACATAAATATGTCTAAGTATTGTACAGGAATTGATGTGATCACGTAATAGGTACCTATATCATACCTTGGAATTGCCTGACATTTCGACCACATTGCATTTAACATAATTATAGTTGTGATAGTAAACGTTAATAAAAATGTTAGATTCACTTAAGCAGCCTCCAGTATAATTAGCCAAAAAATCGGGTCGGTATATAAAAGACTTTTTTATGTAAAAAAGAAAGGAGCTTAAGTGCTACGGTGAGTATAAATCACAGTTGTTTTTTCCTTTTTTTCTATTGAGGTTTTTATCCACAGGGATGCGTCAACCCCATCATGCCTTATCTACATTCAAATTCTTAAATCTAATAAGATAAATACTAATTAATGAAGAAAACTAAATGTTTTTATGTAAACTAAGTATTTTTGTCACTTCTGATTTTGGTTGTGCCAAAATTGTTTGTACCAACCCCACTTCTAAAATCACAGTTAAAAGTTTGCATGTCGTTTAGCATTTTCTAGACATTTATATGAAATAACAAGATTGAAGCAAATGTTTTTTAAATGCCACGACTTTTACACCCTTCTGCTCATTTGACTAGTCCTGTTAACATCCTTAATAACAATTTGTTTTAGACTAAGTAATCCGTCTTTACTTAAAAGTTTGGTATACGTTTTAATTACAGAATTAAATAAATAACGACAGAAAATCTCTTAGTTTATCAACAGGATCACAAACTGTACATTTCCTATTTTATCCAACGAATAGAATATTCTGGGACTCAAACAGGAAGTGCCTGATTGATTCGAGGTTTAACCGGAAACTTCGTAGAAAGCTATAATTACAACAGCAGGTACGAAGAAACCCATTTCCTCAGTTCATCACAAGTCACCATTGAGGAGAAAAACAGTTGTGTTGAAGTTTAAATATCGCAAGTAATACACAATTTCAAAACCTGATATCTTATCCCTTCTAACATTATTTTATTGGAAATAAATGATGTTATCTTATCCTTAAATTCACCAGAAAATATACTTTTTAATGGGATCTCATAACACTACAACTTCTACTAAATCCACATAAGAAAATACAAGTAATAGATATAATTTACGGTAATGTTCCATAATTGTATACTTACGCCTATACACTAAAGCTACTCTAGTTACGAATTATAGGGGCAATTAAGATAAGTATAGTACTGATTTTTTTGGAGAGTCCGCTAAGTTTTTATGCCTATAATTGTATAGAAAATTCTTCTACATATACCAGTGTATTGAAGATAACTCCCGCACTAGGATTATATCCAGTGTCGCGGGGACTTTACAAACATACATGAAACAAACGTACTCAAAAGAACACCCAGACTCAGAACGTCAATTTGTGGATCACACAAAGTGCCATGTGGGGATCGAACCGACAACACTCAGCGTAGTAGGAAGCGGCGTGGCGACCGCTTCTGCCACTACGCTATCCGTGCAATCAATATACATAGTCAATATATTTTATAAGTACGAAGTATGTGATAATATCATAAGATGCCGTATATGCTCGTATCTATCTATCTACGTTTCTTTTTAACTATATATTTTTAAAACACAAGGTATATCAGAGCTAAAGACATTGCATGAATAAATCTGACTACAAAAAAACTGCTACTGCACTTAAATGTAAGAAAACTGATCAATTTGTATTATACCTAATTACTAGTCGACAAAAGAGTGTTTTCTTAGTGCTTCGAATAAATACGCTAAAATGTATGTACCTTTTTCTTACTTCTCGTAATAGTTAGTAGTAAATTTGTTTCTCATATCACGGCCAAGAAATTTCTTTTTTCTAAAGCAAGGGAAGTTTCTTTGACGTCCCGTCGCCGCTGGCACTATTGTCGGTGAAGCCTTTTGTTTAGAGTGGTCGTGCATTGTCCTATTTCATACTATCGCATCGATATTGTTCTACGAGTAACACGACTATCATGTTAACCTACTTTATGGTACACTACAATATAATATAGCAATAGTATATAAAGTAGTAAGCGACACGTGGAACGTTAAACTCCTGCGCATTTGACAATCATTATATCATTTTATTGCATTTCATTTTGTTTGATTACTTTACACGGCAGTTTTGGTAATTCTAAAGTTGTTTTAGTATTGTATGTAGTATTGAATGTCATCAGGTGAATTTACCGTTTAAGCCTCCTAGGGTCTTAAATTACGCGTTATTAGATGATATATTTTTTAATAATATCTTAGCTTGGAGCTGTGTTAGGAGTGTTTTTAGTAATTGGTACTTACCCTCGTGTCAAGTCAGCCTAGCCATAACTTCTTTTATTGTAAAATGTTATTTGATTATATATAATTCCAGGATTAGAAAAGGTTTAATCATCATCATCATCAACAGCCTATACTAGTCCACTGCTGGACATAGGCCTCTCCTTAGAAATCTTAATCATTTTTACAAAAAAAACGTACTTTTGACCGCGGTCTCGGTGGCGTAAAGTAATTTCTCCATCTCCGGAGAACAGCACTTTTTTCAGAATCATTAGACAACACAACCAAATATTGATGATGCAAAAATTAAAATCACCTAAAATTGTTACACTATAGTATTTTATAACATAAACTACAATAATAACATCACGTTACATATCAATTAAAACCAACACCGATAATCGTGTTGACAGTTGAAATTTAATTGCAGTTCCATCTAACCAAATAAAAGAAGTGCATTAATAGCATTATTGACTGTCGTCAGTGCAATAATGACGCAAATATTTTCCGTTTCAGCTGATGGCATGACGTATTCGTTCGGCGTGTTCTATGCAGAGTTCTTGACCTATTTTAATGAGGGCAAAGGAAAAACCGCTTGGATCATCTCCATTCTTGTTGGGGTCACACTTAGTTCAGGTATTTATTTAACTTATTATATTTTATAGTATGATGAATGTAACCTGATAGTAAGTAACTACCGTGGCACATGGACACCTTCAACTCGAGAGCTACAAGTGCATTGTGTATTTTCTATATTTTTAAACATTTTGCCGACATTCTTGCGTGTGAACGTGCATGCGTGTGAAATGTGATGTAAGTGTGTGGTGTGGTATGTGTGTGTGTATGCGTGTGTTTTGTGTGTGTGTGATGTAAATCTGAAGAATTAAAATCACTCATTCGGTGAAAAGCAACGAAAATATTACTTAACACCTGGGTGTCTTGGTAGCACTCCGATGGATTCTGCCCATTTGTGCCGAAGCATGGATCTCCAACCCTTTAAACAAATCAAATCAAATATCAAAAGACTATGTACATTCTACTCTGGTATTTTTTTTCAATATTGCCTGGAAAAGCATAACATAGCATATTGTTTATGAGCTCCATACAATCCACTCAAATCATGACGTTTCTACATCATTTAATTAGTTTTCCATTTATTTTGAGCAAAGCATAGTTAAATTTTAATCATTTTCGAATAGCAAGGTTTTACATATTAATTCGTTTTACCTAATAATTAATTGTAACCAGGCGTATTTTATTATCCCTTAAAGAACGCTCTTGAAAAGTTTTGTTTAAAATGACTTACTACTTTTTTTATGAAATACCTTCGGGAAGTTCTCATACGACTATTGAATTATAACACCAAATGACCTAGCTCAATATCGCCATATGCATACGAGTACATAAAGCGAGATAACATTTAAATTAAACAGGCAGTTTTGGCCTCCTATACCACGTTGGCTAGACAGATTGTTTTAGAGTTTGTTTTATGATTTTCTTCTCTTTGCAGTACTGTTACCCTGCGTAGTTTGCTTCCTTAGTCGGCTCTTACGACACCCATAGGATAAATAGGGCATGTGACACTCCGTATTTTTTATCTGTCACTATACGTATATTATAGATATATATGAGCAAAAACCGGGTCGAATAACCGACCCGGAATTATAGATATACACGAGTATGCGCTTTTCGAGACTTTGTGGAACAAGTTATCATCTGCGGTATTTCCTGAACGATACGACCTTCAAACCTTCAACACGTTTAATATGGGACGTACCCAATATACTTTTAGTTACCTGTGAAATATTCAGCACTATGATTTACAGCGTCGTATCTTTTGATTGCGTAAACTTAAAAACTAGATTTTTTTATTTTTCATTCACGCGACACAATTGTTTTGTCTACACTACCTCTTCGGTGGTGTGTGTGTGTCTAGTAACAGTCATGTTCATATGTATGAGTTTTTAAGACTGTATTCTTCACAAGTAACTAGTTAAAGTAAGTACTCCTCATTAATCAAAAGCTCTTGGACAAATGTCTAGGGATACGAAAGTCCTTCGTATTTTCTTTTAAATATTCCTCTCAGTCATGCTAGATATACATAGTTTCACAACTTTCCACCACCACTCTTGAGGTTTAGGTGTCCATGGGCCGAGGTAATCACTTTGTACTTGTCAAGAAATTATTATTTATTATTATTCGTGAAATTAATTATTTCAGGTCCCATATCAAGTTCTTTTGTAAACCGATGGGGTTGCCGTGCTGTGACCGTGGCAGGCGCGGTGCTATCATCAGTTTGCGTAGTGATTTCGGCGTTTGCTGGCAACATCCTAACACTTATTTTCACCATCGGTATCGGAGCCGGCTTTGGCTTTGGACTCATCTACCTCCCTGCGATAGTCAGTGTGACTGTTTGGTTTGAACGCTACAGAAGTCTTGCTACAGGTAATGTTAAGATATGTGCCACAGTTACTGTGATACAAAGTAGAACGACAACTTTAGAAATGCATACATAAATACATAGACATAATCGCGTTAATTAACAACTTATTAAACAATTAAGAATTTTATTGTACTTAAGTTCTATACTCTTTTCAGGTATTGCGGTATGTGGATCAGGACTTGGAACATTTTTATTTGCTCCCATCACAGCAGCTTTAATAGATTATTATGGCTGGCGCGGTGCCATGGCCATTATCGGTGCCTTTATACTTAACTGTGTCCCACTGGGGCTAATATTCCTACCAGTACCTGAATCCCCACGAACCCCAGCTTCAGAGCCTATGCTACCCTTACAAAATAAGTCTCCATTAAAAAGGTCTCAGAGCACAGAAAATGTGATAAGGGCGAATGGAAAAGATGAAGAAAACGATATGGCAAGATTGACTCTCTCCCAACCTGCATTAAATAAGACACAGCAAAATGAACAAAAGCAAACGCGTTCACGGCATGGCAGTGGTATCATGCACAAACCAGATATATTATATCAAGGAAGTATGCAAAGTCTGGCCAAATTTAGATCGACTACACACATACCTGAAAAATCTCAAGAACAAAAAGTTGAATTGGAAGAAAGATGTAGTTGGTTGCCATGCTCATCAGAGTTTAAATCGGCGCTGTCAGCGATGCTTGATTTGTCACTTCTCACAGATCCTATTTTTATTTTATTTGCAATATCAAACTTTTTAACTAGTATAGGCTTTTATATACCATATGTATACATAGTACCGATGAGCGAGAGACTGGGAATTGAGAATCCACCATATTTAATTTCAATTATTGGAGCTGCGAATTTGATTGGAAGAATAATTCTCGGCTATATTAGTGATAAACCATGGGTTAACAGATTGCTGGCTTATAATGTGTGCCTTACTATCGCTGGCTTTAGTGAGTATAAACCACTTACTATAAAGTTTGCTGTTATTTTACACATACATTATTGGAAAGATAAAAGAAAGTATTGGTTTTCAATTATTTCATTTAAGAATTTTGTAAACAATTATATTTTTTACTCCAGCGCCTATAAATAATTTTATAAAATATTTTACAGACATGTTACTTATTAAGCATAATACTTTTTCAGGTACAGCATTATCTATGGCCTGCTGGGAATTCTGGGGTCTTGCATTATACGCTACCACTTATGGCTTCACGATAGGTGCATATGTAGGCCTTACGTCAGTCGTCCTTGTTGACTTGTTAGGTCTTGAGAAATTGACCAATGCGTTCGGTCTTCTCCTACTTTTCCAGGGAATTGCTTCTCTTATAGGGCCACCTTTCGCAGGTAATTTATTTACAATTCACCTTGGCAATAACAACATCCTATTTGAAGTCATCTAATTTTAATATTATTTTGCAGGGTGGTTGTTCGACACGTTCCAATCTTACGCGTCAGGATTTTACGTCGCTGGCGCTACGATAGCATTGAGTGGACTGATTTTATTCCTTATTCCCGTGATCGAGAGGCGAAACAAGAGGCGATGCTACGAGGAAACTCCAATGGCAGAGATATAGCAGGATGGATTCAGAGGGCTACGGAACGATTACCCAGTGATCATTCTCAATAGTCCCTCCACATCATCCTATCGGAGCTCTAGCGAGGACACCTACAGCAACAGGGTATACAAAACTACAATAATAGATGAGAATAATATTTTTTATGATAATGATGAAGATGTCTGTGACTTTGTAAATACCAATGTGATGAATGAATGCGACAAACGTTAAGAAAATGTTTCGAACTATTGAAGTCATTCCAATGTGTTGTGAGAGTGTGTGAGATACATTTACTTAGATAAAATGAAATAAAAAGGTGCAATGTATTTAAATTTCCATCGTTATATCTAATTGATTGTAAGCTATAATAACATAAAGTGCCGATAATTACGCATTTCCTATGAACTGCAATAAATTGATAAAATAGTTTTAAGTAGTAATATTTCTATTGTATGTATAAATATAACTAGGTGTGTATCGAACCTACTATACAATATTATTATAGTTTACCCGTTGCTACTATTAAGCAATAGGGAGATTTTGTCTATAACGCCTCATCCCAATTTGCATGATTGCATTGCCTTAGTAAAATACAGCATTATCATTTACTATTTTATAATATCATAAATATTAGATGCAAACCCATTTACCAATATTTTTTGCATATATTTAATATGCCATCATAATAATGAACCGGACTATACAATGGAGTTTCCTGTAAATATCGAATGACATAGTTTCTTACAAAAACGGCAATGTATAGCTTTTGCACTCACACAGTCTAGTTAGTTGAACTTGAAAGATACATAATGTATCAAAGCATGAGACAGTATCGGCTTAAAATAACAACTACGTGTGACGTCTTCACAAATTGTTATGGCGCAAACCAAGAGTGTTAAATACTATAAATATAATTATTGTTATATAATTTTAGTGTAATAATGCTCATTGTAATAGTGTGTATGTCTTGAACAATGTAAATTAATATCTTGAATTATGAATCATCTGTGACCGTAAGGATAACACCAATTCATGATGTAAGAACTTTGATGTAAGAACTGGATTGAGAACTTTGGTATTGAAGTCACTTTCACAATTTACAATTATTGTACCACGTTGTAGTGAAAGGAGAATTCTATGTTAACATTAACAAACATCAGTCCATTTGACTGTATTGATGGCGAAACAATTCAAGTAGTACCGACATTCATCATTTCGAACTGCGTTGAGTGAGATGGGTTTATTTCAAATGTGTAAATTTCATGTAAAAATATTTTTTAAGACTTAATGTACTTCATGAGATAATTGTAAGTATATATTCCATAAACTATTATTGATTTATCATAGAAAAGCTCAATGTACCAACCATCACTCAATGAGACTCCGGTCTTATTAAGAAAAACATATTTTTAGACGTTATACTATGTTCATGAATACACTCTACTTCATGAGTGGTACATTCATTCCAATACTCCTCAACTTTTCGATGGACTTTATGTAAAATGAATTCTCTCTACTCTTCAAATAAACCTCTGTTTCAACAATCTTATCCTCATTTGAGACGAATTTCTTTCCCTGAAGCATCTTTTTTTCGCTTAGTAAACAACTAAAATTGTAAAGACTCTTTCTTCTGATATCTTCAAGGTGTCAGCCATTTCACGCAACTTTATTTCACTCTCCTTTAAACAAAACAGTGTTTAATAAACACACAAAATTCCTTTCTATCCATTGTCTTTAAAATTACAAAACTGGTGTCACTAAAACGACTGTAACCTCTGTAACTAACGATCAGAATTCCATGAAGTTTTGTCACGTACTGTTTGAAGGCTAGTACTACCTACTATGTTTTCACATACATATCAGATCGGGAACTTACTGAGTGTAGGTTTACAATTTATATGCCTAAATAGTACAAATCTGGTCTAAATTTTTGTTTACTGAAGCAATTTAAATTTTGTTCGTGTATGCACTGTTCGAAGCACCGGCGAAAATGGGACAGTCCCCTCAAATGTTCTTTTTACTAGCATTGTTTCGGTCTAAAATTTGACTATCCAGGTTATTTTCAAGGCAGATATCATCTGCTCAAGAAGTAGCCTGGAAATAGCCAGAATGAAATCTTAAGTACCATTTCATTCTAAAAAAAACGATTATTCTTACTAAATTTGTACATTTTAAATAGCATTCTGCTTAAGAAAGATAACTGTAATATGTCGCCAGTAGGGTGAAGTGATATACTTATCTGGTCAAGTTATTTTTAAATAGGGTCATTCAATGCTGATTCAATTGAGTGTGCGTAATTTTACTCTATGAAAGGCCTTACTGTGGACCAATCGTCAGTAGGATATGATGACATCCAAGTACCTAGTCAAGGCATTTTGTGCTTTACATAACTTTAGAAGTAATGACATGTTAACATTGTATAGTACATATTAGGATATGATAGACAAATTATTGTAAAGTTTTTTTCATTTTCTACTGAGCACTAGGCATGAATTTCTTCTTCATTAAAGTGGGTACAAGCGGGGGTTCATTTTCGTCGATATTTTTTTACGCATAATATAATGTTAAATTCGACTGAATTAGGTAATCATATGATGTATGGGACGGACTGCGCTGATATTCTTCGTACAAAACTATTCTCGTTTTATTAAATTGTTGGCATTCTTGTAATCGTATTTAATACGGTTTTGTACATTATCTAATGTTATATTTACTATACATAAATATTTAAAATTATAATATTATGTTTAAGGTAACATAGCTTTTTATTTCATCCACATTATAAATCCATCCACATCATCCACATTATACACCCCTCCTCAACTATCAAGTTACATAGACCACGCAACGGTAATGTATTCTCCTTGCTGTAACAACGCGGGTTTATTTCCCCAAGTCGGTGTTTCTGTGTATGTGAATGCTTAAACAAGAATGTAAAAAAAACTTACTACATTACATATACATACAAAACAGGTACTTTTATAAATGAATTATTTATTATTTTAGTTTATAAAGTAGGTACCTACGTTAAAAATGGAATATTAAAAAACACGGAACGCACAGGTATTAAGTGTAACTTATGCCTTAGCATTCGATCATCAAGTAGGATCACAGTTCAATAACTGAAAACAAGTGAAAGACAACACATCATAACATAATATTGAATCTAAAAAGCCTTTTTTTTTTTTTTTTTTTGTTGACGGGGTGGAAAATCCCTTCGGATCTCCTGCTCCTCGGGGCTAGGAGCTAGGAGTATGTGGTGATTCCACTAAAAACCACCCCGACGGCCGGCCTCAGGTGCCCTACTCTGGGAGGACCCGGACCATGTTATTTCAGGTCCTCCCCGAATTGACACCATGCCTAGTCAGGCCCTATCCCAGGGGAATATCACTTCCCCCCTCAATCGCGACGTGGCGGCCCAATTTCGTCTTAATGCAATCAGGCCGCCATCCTATCCCCTACCGCAACATTCAATCAGCGACCAGAGGTCCCCACTCTCTGGCGGCCCGCGGCCCCGTCGGCGGCTGGTATGGTCGCCGACGTCCTCTACGCTCAGGATCGGCCCTCTCCCGATCCCGTTCAGCGGTCTCTTTCTGGAGCATTACAGCTTCACAGAAAGAGACCACTGCGCCCCATCCCTCCTCACCCGCCAGCATGGCAGCAATGATTGCTGGCGGGGACAGGTCTCTTCCGATTTGGCCGACCAGGACTTCGCGTTCAGACGCCCACGCGGGGCAGTCTTCCAGCGTGTGCTGGGCGGAGTCCCAGTCGGCTGCGCAGTGCTGGCATTGTGCCGTCTCCTCGCGTCCGATACGATTCAGGTACTCACCGAAGCAACCATGCCCAGTGAGTACCTGCGTCAGTCGATAGGTGACGCGACCTCCCTCCCTACCTACCCAGGCTTCGAGGTTAGGCAGAACAGCGCTGACAGCGCGTTGGCGTGCATTCTGTGGCTGTTCCAGCCGCACGCGCCACTGCACCAGTGCATGTTGGTGAGCGTTCCGCCGCATTTCGAGCGCGTCCTGGTCTTCCCCGCTCTCACCCCAGCGGATCGCGCGAGTCTGGTCATAGACCCTCGCATCCATATCCGCCAGGATATCAAAGGGCGGGAAACGTGCCAGGACTGTCGCCGCCTCCGACGAAATAGTGCGGTACCCTCGTACGATCCGAATGGCCGCTATCCGCTGCGCTTGATTGAGCTTAGCTCGGCAGCGGGAGGAGGCCGATAGGCGCTTGGCCCATATCGGCGCTCCGTAGAGGGCCATGGATCGTATCACCGCACAATAGAGGCGGCGAACTTCCTCCCGCGGACCCCCTAGGTTAGGCAACAGCCTCTGTAGGGAGCCCGCCACCCCACGAACTCGGGGGATCATCCGCTCGAAATGCTCCCCGAAGCTCCAGCGGCTGTCTAGGGTGAGGCCAAGGTATTTTATGTGTTGGCCAACCTCGACCTCTGTTCCCCCCACGCTAATAAGTGAGCGGGTGGGAACTGCACCTCTGCGTTTCCTGTGGAACCATAAGGCTTCCGTCTTATGAGGTGCAACCCTTAGTCCCAGACCGCTGATGCTTTGGACGACACAAGCCACCCCTATTTCGGCGAGCTCAAGGGCCTCCTAGAAGCCATGCCCCCCAGCCAGTACTAGAGTATCATCTGCGTAGCAGACGACGCTCAATCCTGGGGGAAGGCTGGTCCTCAGAACGGCATCATACGCAAGGTTCCACAGAAGTGGTCCTAAGACCGATCCCTGGGGAACCCCGCATGTGACTTCCCTTCGACATTCTTCGCCGTCCCGACCCATATACGATGTGGATCTGTCGCGGAGATAAGCCCCGATAATGTCTCGCAGGTAGGGTGGCAACTGATGATACACCAGTGCATCCCTAATCGCCCACCACGGGAGAGAGTTAAAGGCGTTGACTATGTCAAGACTGACGGCCAACGCCACTCCCCCCCGACAGACAACCTCTTCCGACAAAGAGCGGACGCGTTCAATCGCGTCCAGCGTCGACCGTCTCTG